GTAAAGAAACCTATCATATCAGTTGTAAGTGAACTTTAAACCACCAGTATAGTCTCCCATTCCATTTAGTCTTGTAACGAAAACTGTTGTTGTTGGCAGGCCTCCATTAGACCAATTAAAGTCTTTGAAGGTTCAGCACCAAACTTCCATACTTTTTGGGGACAACATTTTCAGGCCCGATCTTTGCTATTTCGCCGCCCATTACGTCATACCTAACTTCTTATTGCAACCTCTACGACGAGACGGTGCCCCACAGTTCAAAGTATACCTTTAGGAGCTGCACTTAGTATCAATCGCTGCGCAGTTTCATATTTATGAAATTTCCAATGGTTATCTGTTATAGTAAATTGTCTTAAAGTTTTCAAAACGCTTGGACTTTGAAAAGACTTAATTTTTCTGGCATTGGAAAATTTTGAACGGAATTCACAGTACACCCTTCTGAAAAAAGTTTAGTTTTTCAGTGGACGGCAAAAATGTGATGCCGAAAATTTTTTGATATATTTACGTTTATAAATTCATGTACTCCACTTCAGTTAAGACCAAACATTTTTGCATCTAAATTCTTTAATCTGCTAATTTTGGAACGCAACGGAACCTGACCTGCAATCCCAGAAACTAGAGAAAAAGTGGAGAAAATTGTGTCATAAAGAGGCAATTTTTCACCAAATTTATGTCTGACACATTTTTACTCTAAGGAACCCAGGTTTTCCTAGACATTTACAAGACAAAAAAAGTTAGGCAAAATTAAGATTTTTGAAGTATTATTGTGTTCAGTCGGAAATCTGGTGTTTTAGTCAGGTTGAAAGAAGAATTCGTTTTTTCAACTTGTCTTTTTTGATTATGAAAAATGTGAATTTAAACTGTTGTTGACGACTATGTTTAAAAAACGAAGTCTGAGATACTTGTTGAAAAGAATTTGTACTTTGTTTTGATTGAAATAATTGAAACAGTACAATAATGATTAATATAAGAATGTGGCCAAAACTTTTGAGAGACTATTTCACAAAATTACGAAGCAAAATAAAAGAGTTGAAAAGTCAAGTCAACTTTTGACGGGTTTTATTTGAAGTTGGAGATCAAAAAAAAAAAAGTTGGAATTCAATTATAAATAAAAGCAGAAGAAAAGAAACTTAAAAATGCTGGATTTTTAGGAGGTTCAAAGCTACACTATTCAAAGCTAAAGCTTAAAAAATTACATTATTGGTGACTTGACATATGAAACGAAATGTTCTGCTATCTTCTAATTAGCAGTATAAAATATTTATTGGTGTAGCAGTTAGCAGCAGAAGAAAGACAAACTGTACCAACATATATTTATGGAAAAAAAAATTGATAAAATGTATTAATTTTCAAATACAACATTTGAAATACTTCAAAAAATAAAAAATTCAATCATTAAGACCAAACAGTTTAAAAATTTCCGATAAAATTTGTAGCAGTTCAAATATTTCAGTCAACTTTTAGATAAAAAGTTGTAAAAAAAAAATCAAGTAAAACAAAAAAAAATTATGATTAATATGAGAAAATAGTTTTCAAAAACAAAAAAATAAACAGGATAATTTTTTTTTTTTCAATTTCTGTAAACTCAGCACCTTCACTGGTGGATTTTAATTTAACGGATTTTTTGGCAGAAGTATAAAGGCATAAATGTTCTGCAAAAAATAATTTGACAATAGAAAATTAAAACAATCCTAACTAAAGCATTTTGGATGACACTTTCAGCAACTGTAAATTTTGTGACAAAAAATATAGACGCCAAAGTAATTGATTGTACAAAAGCATAAAAATATGTAACTGTATTTAGCGTTTTGTTCATATTTATTTGCACTAAATTATAAAAATCATAAATTAACAAATCTTTTTTGAACAAACAACAAATACAAAGCAGAAAGTTTCCAGGCATTAAAACTTGAAAAAAAAAAAATCTGTAATGCTCAAAGTGTTAAAACTGAGACATAAATTTGTACAAAAACAAGAAAAAAACAGCTGTGGAACTCGCTCGTGAAGGCAACGCTCAAGCAAATTCCTCTGATGGAGACAGCAGCTTTTGTGATGACATTAAACAGGCAAAGCTATTTGCTTTGAAGATTCATCTATTTCAATCACTTCTGTACAATTTCCCAAGATTTAAAGTTTATTGTTATGAGAAACAAAATTGTAATTGGTGTATTTCATATTAAAAAAAAAAAGACGTTTATTCCAAAAAAAAAAAAA